TCTCCGGATTGTTCTCGGCCGCGCGTCTCCCGAGCGCTTCTTCAAGGGCCGTTCACGGCTTCTGGCGCAGAGGCCTCCAGCGATTCGGGTTGCCGTTCAGCATCGCCGCAACCCTGGCGGTTAGTTGCCCGTAGTTTCAGTGGCCTTCTTCCTTGAAGATCGGCCCCGTGGTCCGCCTCCCCCTTCTCCGCTCGGTCCGTGGGCCGTCTTTCCTTCCCTCGTTGGTCCTGGGATTCCTCCTTCTTCGGCCCTCGGGCGCTTTGGCCGCTGCCGCTTGCTCACTCTGGGGCTTTCGGCGCTGCCGTTCTCGTGGAGATGCAGTTCGATGGAGTCCGCGCCGCCCGCCGCCCGCCCTGCTTTCTTTTTCGATGCAGCCGGACAGTCGGATGGGCTCGATTGCAGCTCCAGGTCGCGTTGGAGCTCGGGCCCCGTTGCCGACTTGGGAAAGCGGTCTTGCACCCTTCTGTGCAATTCAACTGGCGCGACTAAGCTGGGTCATCTCTTGTCGGCTCGTCTCTATCAGCGCTGCCTGCGGCCGCGCGCGAGGTCGGGGCAAGTTCAAGGCGCCCGGCCCGTCCGCTGCCGCAGCTTGTCCCCGCCGGCCGCCACGAGACTGCTCGGGTGACTTGCTTAGTTGTGAGATTTGGCCTTGATCGATCAGCCCCCCCATCCGTCTTCCCTCCCTGCTGACGGTTGCCCGATGTCTCCCTTGGCGCCCACCCATTGCGGTGGTTCGGCTTCCATGGCGCCAGAAGCCTTGAAGTGGTTTAATAGTTGCCCGGCCGCGCCCCCTGGCTGACATCGGACTTGGGTGGGCAATTCGCGTCGGTGGTCACCGGTCATTGCATTTGCTGCGTCGGGAAAAGTCACCATCAGCACCATCATCAGCATCAGCATCATCATCATCGTAATCGTCGCCGTCGTCGCCATCAGTAGCAGCATCATTATCACCATCAGCATTTTCATTATCATCAGCAACAGCATCATCATCAACACCGTCATCATCATCAGCAGCAGCAGCATCAGCAGCATCAGTACCAGCATCACCCTCACCAACCGCATCAACATCATCACCATCATCAGCAGCAGCACCAGCGCCAGCAACAGCATCAGCATCCAGAGCGCCGTCAGCATCCGCATCATCTGTATTACTATCCTCTTCCATCCCTCCTGTTCCTCCTCCTCTTCCTCCTCTTCCTCCTCCTCTTCCTCCTCCTCGTCCTCGTCCTTGTCCTGCTGTTCCTCCTCCTCCTTACCCTTACCCTTACCCTTATCCTTGTTCCTCATTATTATATACCCCCACCTACGTCGTATTCCGGCCGATAGCGACCCAATCCGGGACCTCCCATCCGGGCTGTGAAAAATCAATATAAAGTGGCCGTTTTTCTTCTCAACGTTGTCCTTTTTGTCGTCGACGATGCGAAAAGCGTGGCAAGAATGGGACGCGGCGCACATCGCGCGCGGCTGTCGATCTGGGCCCGCCCATCCTGATTGTAAAAAATCAATACCAAGTCTTCGTTGTTTCCTTTCAGCGTGGCCTGCCTTGTCGCCGACGGTGCGAAATATGTGGCAGCAGTGGAACGCGGCGCACATATGGGACGCGGCGCACATCGCGCGCGGCCGTCAATCCGGGCCCGCCCATCCTGACTGTAAAATATCCATACAAAGTGTCCGTTTTTTCCTCTCAGCATGGCCTGCCTTGTCGCCGACGGTGCGAAATTTGTAGCAGGAATGGGACGCGGCGCACATCGCGCGCGGACGTCCATGCGGGCCGCGGGCCCTCCCATCCTGACCGTGCAGAATTGCCGTTTTTCCTTTCATCATGGCCTGTCTTGTCGTCGACGATGCGAAATGCGTGGCAGGAATGGGGCGCGGCGCACATCGCGCGCGGACTTCTGGGGCAACCCCAAGGCGGGAGGGTCCACCTTACTTGTCAGAAACAATGCCATGCTGATTTTCCCTGCCCACATAGCTGTTCTTGTCGTCCACCCCGCAAACGTGCATGGCAAGAATTGGGCGCGGCACACCCCCCCCCCCGCTCGAAGTGAATGAAATGACCTTCCCGCTTGGGCGCCGAGCGAAATTTTCTCAAAGTTGCGCTCCCGCTTTGGCTCGGCGCACGTTTTTAGCTCGCCAATTCATTGGGCGCCGGGGCGTTCCAGGAGGCCCTGGGGTGACGAATGCCTGGGAGGTTTTTGCTTGTCCAGGCTCTTGGAGGGCCTCCTGAAGCTCCCCGCGGTTTCTTGGCGGCGTCTGCGGCCGTCTGGAGGCCATCTTGGGCGTCTTGGAACGATCTTTCGGCTACTCAAGGCCCCTCGGATCGTCTCGGGAGCGTCTCGGCTCTCTTGGGGCGTTCCTGGGGCGCTCTGGGACCTGGAAGTCAGCGCTCTGGGACCTGCGACACTGAAATGCCTGCGCAGCCCCCAGTTGTGCCATCACTGTTTCTTATGTTGTGGGAGGGCGGGGGGGAATGGGCATGCCATGCTTGACTCGCTCGAGCTGGCTAGCTTGACCCTTACCCTTACCCTTACCCTCCTCTCCTCCTCTTCCTCCTCTGCCTCCTCCTCCCCGTCCTCCACCTCTTCCCCCTCGTCCTCCTCCTCCTCCTCCTCCTCCTCCTCCTCCTCCTCCTCCTCCTCCACCTCATCCTCCTGCTTCTCTCCCCCTGCCCCCTATTCCCCCTTTTTCCTCCTCCACCCTCCCCCTCCTCCCCTCCTCCTCCTCCTCCTCCTCCTCCTCCTCCTCCTCCTCCTCCTTCCTCCGCCTTCTCTTCCCGCCTCCTCCTCCTCCTCCGCTCCTTCTCTTCCGCTTCCGCTTCCTGTTCCTATTCCTCCTCCTCCTCCTCCTCCTCCTCTCCTCCTCCTCCTCCTTCTCCTCCTCCCTCCTCCTCCCCTCCTCCTCCTCCTCCTCCTCTCCTCCTCCTTACCTTCCTCTCATTATCCTTTTCATCCCCCTCCTTCGCCTCCCCCCCCTCCCGCCTCCTTCTCCTTCCCCCCCTTCCGTCCTCCCTCCTCCTCCTCCTCCTCCTCCTTCCTCCCTCCGTCCTTATCCTCCTCCTCCTCCTCCTTCTCCTCCTCCCCCTCCTCCTCCGCCTCCTCCTCCTCCTCATCCTCCTGTTCCTTCTCATCGTCAGCATCACAAATCACTTGCATCCGCACCATCATCAGCAGCAACATCACCTTCATCGCCATCAGATCATCGTCATCATCAGCAGCAGTAGCATCATCGTCATCATCCTAATCAGCAGGAGCAGCAGCAGCAGTGTCGTCATTATCAGCCGCAGCATCCGTACCATCAGCAGCATCCTGGGCTTTTTTTTCTCCCCAACATGAGAGTCCTGCTCATGCTCCCGCTCTTCCTCCTCGTTCTCCGCGCCATCACCATCAACCGCATCACCACTAGCATCAACATCATCGCCATCGACGTCGCCATCCGCAGCAGCATCATCATCAGCAGCATCAGCAGCAGCATAATCGTTGGCATCGACGTCACCGTCATCCACGACATCCGCATTGCCCTCGTCATCATCAGTAACATCAGCATCATCACCATCGTCATCAACATCCGCAGCATCATCATCAGCAGCATCAGCATCATCGTCGTCGCCGTCGTCCACACCATCCGCAATACCCTCGTAATTGCCAGCGTCATCATCCTCATCACCAGCAGCATCCCCAGCAGCATCATCACCCGCATCATCAGCATCGTCATCATCGTCATCACCCACCATCACCATCATCTCTACCACCACTGTCGTCACCATCATCAGGATCAGCCTTAACACCAGCAGCATCAGCATCATCAACACCATCAGCATGATCATCGTCAGCATCATCATCATCGTCCTCAACATCAGCATCCGTATCATCACCATCGTCCTCATCCACCATCCGTCACCCAGTTGTCATGATCATTATCATCAGTATCCTCATCAACAGCATCAACACCATCACTATCACCATCATCTTCATGATGGTCATCAGCATCATCACCATCATCCGCTCCTCCTCCTTGTCATCGTCGTCGTCATCCTCCTGATCATCTTCCTCCTCCTCCCTCCTCCCTCCTTCCTCCTCCAACCTCCCTTCTCCTTCCTCTCCTCCCTCCTCCCTCCATCCTCCTCCTCATCATCATCCTCATCTTCGTCCTCGTCCTCGTCCTCCTCATCCTCATCCTCATCCGCATTATCTTCCTGGTCCTGCTCCTGCTCCTCGTCCTCTTCCTCCTCCTTCTCCTCCTCTTCCTCCTTCTCCTTATCATCATCCTCCTTCCTCCCCTCCCCATCATCATCATCATCATCATCATCATCATCATCATCCTCATCATCATCATCATCATCATCGTCATCATCATCATCATCATCATCATCATCATCATCATCATCATCATCATCATTATCATTATCATCATCATCATCATCATCATCATCAGCACCATCATCATCGTCATCACCATCATCATCACCAGCATCATCATCATAGTCAGCAGTATCATCATCATTATCATCATCAGCAGCAGCATGATCATCATCATCACCATCATCATCACCAGCATCATCATCATAGTCAGCAGTGTCATCATCATCATCACCACCATCATCATCATCATCATCATCATCATGACAGTCATGAGCATCATCATCGTCATCATCATCATCATCATCATGACAGTCATGAGCATCATCATCGTCATCAGCATCATCATCATCATCATTATCATCATCACCATCCTCATGACAGTCATGAGCATCATCATCGTCATCAGCATCACCATTCATCCGTAGCCTGTCTGGTTCAAACTAGCTGGCTCGAACTCGCGTGGGTCGGCAAGCGGCGCGGAATCGCGTGGCCGCCGCCTCCGGGCGATGGCCGCGAGGAGCGGGCGCCCCGGCGAGGCGCCGCGCGCCCTTCGAGAAGCCGCGGGGGCGGGTTCTGCCGCAGACCGCCGGGCGAGGCGCCGCTCCCAGGAGCCAGAGGCTGCCCGCGCGGAGCGCGCGCGAGGCTGCGGGCGGTGCTGGACCAGCGGAGCGCATGGGGCGAAAGCGGCGTCGAAGCAGAGCTGCCCGCCTTGAGGCTCTAGCCAGGCCCTCCCTGGCGGCGAGGCTCAGCGGCGCGCCCGAGAGCGGTGGGATGCGCTCGGTGCGGAGCGTCTCGCTGCGTGCGAAGCATTGCCCGCAGGCCGGGGCCCCCTGGTCGGAGCTGAAGGCTGCGCAGCGCGAGTGCCGCCTGCATGGTGGAGCCGCCGCTGCAGCAGCAATAAAGTGCGATGTCGAGCGCGAGGTCATCATCTGCGAAGCGGAGGCGTCGCTGTTCAGGCATCGGGTCGAGAAGCTGCACCTGGAGCCGCAGGCCGAGGTGCTGCGGCCTGGCGAGTGGCAAGCGTTCGGCGAGAGGCGCGTCGTGTGGGGAGCTGGTGGGAAAGTAGAGCTTTCCTGGATGGCCTCTCGGCGGGGTGGCGCTTTGCCGAGGCGTGCCCGCCCTGCGACGTCGGGGTGCTGATGCGTGAGCTGGGAGCGGTGGCCGCGAGGACCTCGCTTCGGTCTTGCGCCAAGCCGTACCTTTGTGAGAACGCAGCCGAGGCCTGCCTGCCCGAGACGGGCGCTGCAGCTGCGGAGGCCCGCAGGGCCGCGGCTAGTGCGGCGCCAGGACTGCTGGAGGCGGAAGTCGAGGCGGCCCAGGAACCGCCCCTGCTCCTCCCCCCGCCGCCCGGGGGGTCGGAGGCTGCCACGGCCTGCGCGGCCGTGCCGACAGCTGCCGCGAGCAGCGCCGCGGTCGCGGAGTACCTGACGGCCCACCCCACGACGCTCCTCAGCGGCGGCGACGGGGAGGAGCATGTCGACGAGATCGAGAAGCTTACGTGCGAGGAGCATGACGGGCAGGCAGAGCAGCAGGAGCCCGAGGCCATCGGATTCGAGCTGAATGGCAGGGAGGAGCATTTCGGCGCGCTGCGGGGCGTCATGGGGGCGCCCAAGAACGACGAGGAGGACCAGAACGAGCTGGAGGCCCACGCGTCGAGCGACGGCGCGGGGGACGAGCAAGGCAGCGGCGCACGGGCGTCGTGCAAGTAGCCGCCGAGCATCATCGAGGAGCCCACGTGCGAGGAGCAGGCGGAGCAGCAGGAGCCAGAGGACATCGGGTTCGAGCTGAACGACGAGTAGGAGCACTTCGGCGAGCTGCGGAGCGCCATGGGGGGTGCCCTCCAAGAACGACGAAGGAGGGAACTACGACGGCGAGGAGTCGGTCCTGCCCCCGCCCTCTGGCGAGGGCGAGTTCTTCGTCGAGGTCGTCGACATGGAAGCGGCGGCGGCAGCTGCCGCGCGCCACGCGGCAACGCGACTGCGTCAAGGCGCCGTGGGCCATCGGCATGCAAAGGTGGGAGGTGAAGCGGCACATCGAGCGCGGATGGCGCGGTAACCGAGCGCTGGCGACGCGCACACAAGAAGACGGACGCAGTTCGGGGCGTGGACGTTCGGAAACCCTGGGGAGGGGGGCCAAAAGACCCTGCGAGTGATTGAAACACTTGCGGTGGGCGCGAGCGTTTCGGCTCCGACCTTCCTTGGAGAGCGAGCTCCTCCACCTTCTCCTCCTCATCCGCCTCCCCGTCGCACCCCGAGGCAAGTTTTTAGGGAGGGCCGGGCGTTTCGCGCGAGACCTCCTCACCATTTATGACCGTGAAGCTTTACACGTGCATACAGTTTCACATGTAGTAGGAGGGTCGTTTTCGAAATGTGGGCGTCGCCTTAGCGCCGCGCGCATTCGTTTTATTAAATATTCGCAAGGGCTTCACGGATTGAGGGCGGGTGGTTTTCAAAATGTGGCCCTCGCCGTAGCGCCGCGCACATTCGTTCTAAAACGTTGCAAGAGCTTCGCGGGTTGAGGGCGGGTATGTTTGAAAATGTGGTTCTCGCATTGGCGCCATGCACATTGTGTTAAAAGTTTGCAAAAGCTTTACGGATTGAGGGTGGTTCCTTTTCAAAGTGTGGTTATCGCCCTAGCGCCGCGCACATTCGTTTCTAATGTTTGCGGAAGTTTCACGGATTGAGGGCGGGTGGTTTTCAAACATTCGGTTCTCGCTCTAGCGCCGCGCACATGTTACTTAAAAATGTGCAAGGGCTTCACGGATTGAGGGCGGCTCCTTTTCAAAATGTGGCTCTCGCATAGCGCCGCGCACATTCGTTTTCAATGTTTGCAAAGGTTTCGCGGGTTGAGGGCGGGTGGTTTTCAAAACGTGGTTTTCGCTTTAGCGCCGCGCACATTCGTTTCAAAAATTTCCCAGGGCTTCACGGGTTGAGGGTGGTTCCTTTTTCAGAATGTGGCTCTCGCATGAGCGCCGCGCATATTCTTTTTAAACGTTGAGAAGGAGCTAGCGGGTTCCCATGATCAACGTATCAGAAATGGTGTTTTGGAAGGGTTCAGAACTACGCGGGTGCAACAGTTATGCTGGCCCGCGGTGTTGAAGTCCCAGGAACGGCGTCCTGGCGCGATTCCAGATCGTCAAGACGCAACAGTCAGTTTGATCCTCGAGAACAATACTTTGACATGCTTCAGGAATTTCAAACGGTTGTTTTCCAACGAGGCAGTCAGTTCCCTCAATAAAAATGAACCGCTGTAGGGGCCTGAGAAAACGGAGCTTGAAGGGAGGGTTACTTCCAACATCGTTGACGGATGTTGGGTTTGCACTGGTCCTTTTTCCTCTTTTTCCTCATCCTCGTCCTCCTCCTCCATTCCTATTTTGTGTGAATCATTTATCCCTGTCGCACCCCGAGGCCAGTTTTTTAGGGCGGGCCGGGCGTTTCACCTGAGACTTCTTCACCACGAATGACAGTGAAGCTTAACACCTTGCAAACAGTTTCACAGATGGAAGCGGGTCTTTTTCGAAATGTGGGCCTCGCCTTAGCGCCGCGTGCATTCGTTTGCAGAATTTGCAAGAGTTTCACCGATCGAGGGCGGGTGGTTTTCAAAATGTGGTTTTCGCTCCAGCGCCGCGAACATGTTTCTTCAAAATTTGCAAGGACTTCACGGATTGAGGGCGGTTCCTTTGCAAAATGTGGTTCTCGCCATAGCGCCGGGCCCATTCGTTTTCAATGTTTGCAAAAGTTGCGCGGGCTGAGGGTGGGTGGTTTTCAAAATGTGGCTCTCGCCTTAGCGCCGCGCGCATTCTTTCGAAACAATTGGAAGAATTCAACGGGTTCCCACAATCAACGTATCAGAAATGGTGTTCTGGAAGGATTCAGGATTACGCGCGTGCAATATGTATGTTGGTTCGCGGTGTTGAAGTCCCAAGAACGGCGTTATGGCGCGATTCCAGATCGTCAAGACGTAACAGTCAGTTTGATCCGTGGCGTTGAAATCCCGAGAACAATGCTTTGGCATGCTTCAGGAATGTCAAACAGTTGTCTTCCAACGAGGCAGTTCCCTCAATAGAATTGACCGTTGTAGGGGCCTAAGAAGACGGAGCTTGAAGGGAGGGTTACTTCCAACATCGTTGATGTCTGTTGGGTTCACACTGATCCTTTTCCTCCTCTTCCTCATCCTCGTCCTCCTCCTCCTCCTCCTCCTCCATTCCTTCTCTTTGTGAATCATTTATCCCTGTCGCACCCCGAGGCCAGTTTTTGAGGCGGGCCAGGCGTTTCGCCGGAGATTTGTTTCACCATTTATGACCGTGAAGCTTAAAATTACAAACAGTTTCACAGATGGAAGGCGGGTCGTTTTCGACATGTGGGTCTCGCCTTAACGCCGCGTGCATTCGTTTGCAGAATTTGCAAGAGTTTCACGGATCGAGGGCGGGTGGTTTTCAAAATGTGTTTTTCGCTCTAGCGCCGCGCACATTCGGTTTAAATGTTTCCCTCCTCCCTCCTCCCTCCTTACTCCTCCCGTCTCCCTCCTCATCCTCCCTCCTCCTTCCTCTTCCCGCCTTCCTTCCCTCTCTCCCTCCCGCCCTCCCTCCTCCTCCTCCTCTCTCCTCCTCGTCTTCCGAAGTGAAAGCAGCAGGGTGGCTTTGCCTTAGCTGCTGTTTTAAACAGCGCGAAGCGCTGTTGAAACCTACCGAAACCCCCGGTCCGCAAGAGGTCAGGGCCCGCAAGAGGTCAGGGCGCGAGGCGGGAGACGCCAGGTGGCGTCAGGCCAGGGCCGGCGGGTCACGGGACGGGGCCGGAGCCAATCAGGTCGGCTGTTAGTAGCTTGAGAGTAACCGACGCT